TATTGGATTATCTATTGAAAGAAGTTTTTAGCGAATTACTTTGGATAACGTATTTCCAACCGCTTAATTATTTGCTTTATAAACTTGGTCAACGCTAACTATGTTAAACCTAAGTTTGCTATTTTTAATTTAGGAAACTAAACTGCGCACCACTCAATGTGTCGCGACCAAAAAGTTCTTTTTCAAAACGACATAACTTTTTTGTTTCTTGAACGATTTTATTTTTGTCGCTTGTTCAGAAGTATTTAAGGAACAATCTTTCACCATCTTATCTTCTTGTTCTTAAAAAGACTGAGTGTATTGCCTACCCTTTCAAGGTAAGACATAATACTTCATTATTTCAAAGTAAAAACAAGAAGTTTTTTTTTTTTTACTGAGTGTATTGCCTACAAAAAAGCCTTAAATGTACTCTTTTGAAAAAAAAATCATGCTAAGATTCCAATTCGAAAAATTTGAAAACCTTTTCAGGGTAAGACATCATTATTTTAAAGTAAAAACGAGAAAAAAAATTCTTTTTTCAAACGGGGCTTGGATGAAGTTATTGAAATTTTTCACCGTAACATATCACCCTGTAGGAAATTTACTTGAAGAACCGTGAGCTTCATATCTACAGGGTGTTATGTAATTAATGTTATATATTAAAATACTGAATACCTTTTGACATAAGGTGTAATGGAAAAATATTTTAAAAGATATTTTCCCAAAGATAAAGAAAATATATGCATTAGAAGTTTTTTATATTTTTTGTGATACGCCACTGGTTACACACTTGTGTTCTCTCAGTACATAGATACAAACCAACAAAGTAGCTGCGCGTTGCCAGTTGTACAAAAATTGTTACTAAAAAATTTTCTTGCAAAAAATAAATAAAAACTCAATAAATACAAAAGTTTTATGCCCTTAAAGCTCTAATACCATTCTGTATTTATTTACTCATCCAGCTATTAACTTAAGCAATGATAAGAAAAATTAGTACCTACCTATTTAAAAACTCCATAAAATTAATTTTTTCATCGGTTTTTTTCTTTCTGTTTACTCAGATGAAATTAGGACAAGTTCACAGGTTAATCGTTAAACATTCAATTTGTGTAAATAAATCCAAACTCCCAAAATCACTTCCCTTAGTTAAGATATTACAATTTGCGCACATAACCTACAATTTGACAGTGTTACCAACGGTTGGTAACCAACCATAACAACATAAATTGGACAAAGTAAATCATTACGAATTATGATTAAAGTTTAAATCTGGTGTGTCTAAATTTAAATATATTTTTTATAAGTATGTTTTTAAATCACAATGTTAAAACGATTTTTAAAAAATCATTAGTTTACACAAGGTCTAATTCTAAAATCTAGCGGTTTCAGGTTTTTATTTTTTTTCAAGTTTGTGCAGGTTTTTATTCTTTTATAAATATTTGAAAGTTTGAAAATTTGTATTTCAGTTGTATAATCTGTGTTGTATTTTATTAGTAATAATAATAAGTAATTTGTGCGAAAGATTTTATGCTATGGCGTTTTTGTACGTGCTGTGCAAAGTTTAAGGGACTGCGGAAGATTTAGCGCATTTGTTGGTGATAGGGGTCGGGCTCAGGGACGTGAATTTGTGGCCCTTGAAGAATAAATTTTGGACGAAGTGGAAGCAAATCCGAGAATTAGTACAAGACGATTAACTGCCCATGGGCAGTTGCAACTTGGACAAATGTCCAACTTTGTTACGTGGCGCACGATTCACGAAAATAGTTTGTACCCATATCACCTACAAAAAGTTCAAGCTCTTCAGGATGGAGATTATGAACTGCGGTTGGAATTTTGCCATTGGTATATACAGAAAAATCAAGAAGATGCTGATTGGACTCGTAGTGTTTTGTATACCGATAAGGCCACATTTACGAGAGACGGGATGTGGGCAGCAACTCAGGAACTTAATTGTAAATAGTCCAGACATTTTTACGCGGGTGCGCGAAAGCATGCTTCGCAGAGTTTAAGCTTGCATTCTAAATAATGAAATCATTTTGAGCATCTCATATAAGGTAATACATTTTTAATTTTACATTTGGCAACACTGCATTAAAAAGTAATAGGTTAGGTTAATCTGCAGTTCCTAGTCGATCAGTGGCGTACTTTTTGGTAGGATAAAGGTTATTATAAATTATTTTTAGTCTTTGGAATTTAGAAAAAAAAAGTTTCAGGTGCTTCTTTATGGACCCTAAGGAACTACCCATTTTAATATATAACATTAATTACATAACACCCTGTATAGTATGAATTGCCGGAGGATGGGGCTAGCAGACATCACAGACCAAAATAAAATCGTTCAGGAAACAAAAAAGTTATGTCGTTTTGAAAAAGGACGAACTTTTTGGTCGCGACACATTGAGTGGTGCGCAATTTAGATTAAATATTTGTAAAGAGGGATCTCTATACAAAAAAAGATTGAACTAAATTGGTGATGGGAATGCATTTTAGCTTCTTTTAAAATGTTTGTTTCAATTTGTCAACTTTTTCTTTAAAAATCCAAATATCTTTTTTAAAATGAACAACCGTTTAAATCCGATATAGAAGTAGTTTTTCACAGTGAAAGTGAAGAGGATGTTTTGTGGTTAATCCATTCGAATTTATTAAGGCTTTACCAGCAAATACAAGTTTGCTGCCAGCGAAATCAAAAGGTCAGTTGCAAACTTTTCCAAAATTGACGTCCAGAAACTATTTAACTATAACTTTAACTATTTAGTAAATTATGTTTTATAAATGCCATTTTATTTACGAGTTTTATTAGGCACGATCCAAGCTTGCGAGCGAGTGTTTAATAAAAACGTGTGTCTAGATAAGTTTATAAAACGAGCTTCATACTATACTTTATCTGCAATTTATAAAAAATCAGCCCATGACTGAAATTCCCAAAATCCACTATTGCCAACCTAAGCTTGTGACTAAAACGCCATAAAGTCACAGCTTGTCAATGTGGGAGTATATTATGTATCAAGTTTGATAAACGCCGTTTTAGTCACGAATTTAATTTAGGCACGAGCAATCTTGCGGGCGAGAGCTTAATTAAATTAGTGTCTTATTGAAGTAGACAAAGTATGGAGAATATGCGCATTAGTTACTCGGATAATTTGAGTATCGTTTGGCGACTCGACACGCAAACCTCATCCTCGTGAATAATAATAGCCTCAGGGCCGAGCCTAGGGTATCTGCCGCCCGGGTGCAAGAATTAAATTTGCCGCCCCCATTAATGTAAAAAATCTACTTTTCTCGCTTTTTTAATAGCAAATTCCCTAATCAAGTCGCCTACATCCAAGTTGTTAGAAATATCTTTTTCAATACTTATAATTGCTTAATTTGAAAGCCTGAATTGACTCATATTGGATCTTAATTAGTTTTAATTTCGAAAATGACCGCTCTTGATGGGCAACAATAACTGGCATCGTCAAAAATATTCTTAAAGCTACAAATAAATTCGGAAAGATGCCTTTTAAATCATTAACTAGTTTTTAACTTAAACGCATTAAAAGACAAAATAAACTACTATGTTTGCATCCTATTTGCCTCACGTTAATAGAAAAACTAAAAATTGCTGAAATACGCAGCCGTCAAATCGGACAAAATTATGCTTTAACTTAACAGTTCAGCTTGTAAACAATATCACGTGGTACACAGCGCGCGATTTGATTGGTTTCCCGTAAGCCCGCTTCCGTAAACCATGAAACTTGACGAAATCGAAGCGGACGGACGGAAAGCGAAGCGGGCGGGCGGCAATCTATAAAACGGGCTTTAAGAAAATTGTCATCATAATTTTTTGTGGCTATCGCGCGTTCGGTTATGTCTTTTTTAGCATTGACAGCACAATTTTGGTATTGTTTTTATGTATAGAATAAAAACGATGATTCCTTGAAACGCCATCATCAATAAACCGCAAGTGATTTTTAGAAAGTTTTTTGCATATTGCAAGGTGGCTTTTTTATTCTTGATAATATGATACAATTTTTTTGATGATATTTTGCCGCCCTGTGTTAGTGCCGCCCGGGTGCCATGCACCCCTTGCACCCCCGGCACGGCTCGGCCCTGAATAGCCTGCATTAACTCTCGTATAATAATATACTATTTTACTTACATATTACATATTAGTATTATTTCGGAATAAGGGTACTTTATTTAAATGATTGTATGACATTTTTCATCCAACTTAAAGCTCCAGTTAGTGGCTAAAAAGTCCAAAAGCTAAATTTCGCATGTGATCAAAATGCCATAAAGTCACAGCTTGTCAATGTGTATTTAAAAGATTAGTAACTGTCATGGAAACTTGTAAGATAATGGAATTTTTAAGGTGGGAGTCGAAATTTGTCCAATTTTTTTCAAACTGCACGGACAGCTACATATCTAGATCTTACGCGTCACCCCTGACGCTCAATTTCCCCCCAGCCGTAGCCTGGATGGGGCAGAACACGCATACATCGACGTTACTTACTTCTACCACTTCATGCTCCCCTGATAAGGCTCCTCATATTTTCCGTCACCAATTAAAATTGTACCCTTAAGTTGGGGGCCTCAACGCGACAAAACTTAATAATAGTTTTATCATCCTTATTTCTATTTAAAATTTCTATTGTTCATAACGGTTTTAAGCACAGTAAATAAGTTTGGTTTTCCTAAATATACCACTGCATTTTGTAGAATAATTGTAAAAATAAACAAATTTCTTGTATTCATAGAACCAAAACACTTACACGATACATACAAAGCTGGAGCCAATAGGGACTGGAGAATACGTGTAAAATTTAATGGTTCAAATTTTATGCTGCTATTGTCTTTATTACTATTGACGATTCTCGTCGCCAATAAATTGCAACTGTTTATACGATAATGTAAGATATTAATATTTAATATTTCGTTTTCATACAAATTTAGTTACCACTTATTTTTCTCATTTATTTAATGTTTTGGTGGTTTTGCTTATATTACCAGGTGCTCTCCTATCAAACTTCCTCTTAATTTACCATCATTCATCCTGCAAAACTTCATTGAAAATAATAATTTATTCTAAGCTTAATAACAACTTCTAACCATATTTCTATAACTTTATGATTGGGCCCTTTAACTTTGCTAGAAAGCAACATTCATAAATGATTAATTTGGACGAATGCTACTAGGAAAATCAGTTGAAATACGATGCGGTTACCACTTTTGCCTCAGACAGGAAGTCACCCTTTTCTCTTTTTTAAACTTGGTTAACTTTTTAAACTAAAGTTTTAATTTTTTTTAATTTGTAATGCATTTCTTTGATTAACAACTTTAATCGATTTTAATTTTTACCGTTTTTTCGTCGAAGTAATAAAAAAGATTTTCGTGGAAACAATCATAATTTTACTGCCACAATAATAATAAAGTTAAAGAATAAGAATTTAAATACTTTTATTTTGTCACAGAATATTTTCAGTCAGTCCAGAGAATGTCCCCCTCCTTAGGGGGCTAATAATATTTTTAACATTTTGCACCAAAACAAAATTAAAAATATATAGAAAAAAAATTCACTAAATGTATAAAAACAAAACAAGTTTCACGTGAAACCTAAAAAAGGTGTTTTGTTTTTATACATTAGTGACGATGAAATTGTACTGATAAACAATTGAACATCATCATTTATAAAAAGTTTGGTACGAAAATTCTGAAAAATTTCATAAAATGTCAATGTAACGTTTTATGCCTCAACAATATTTAATATCAATCTTGGCGATTTAACTGATAGGACCTTTTTTAGAGAAAATTTTCTACAAGCTTGTCCTTGATGAATCCAGTCACTTTTGAAATATCTTCAAAATATGAGAATTTTACACCAAAATCTGATTTAGTGACCCGTACCATCTTACAGGTGCAGATTACAGCTATATTACAGCCATATATAGCACATAAAGCATTTTAGTAGAACTTTTGATTCCGAGTAAATCCCCTTTTGAAACAATCCAATAGCAACTGAAAGAAATGCATTGTTCCTTATTACACAAAATGATTACAAATATTATATGTTAAAATGGCGACATCGAAAACTTTTGCTACTACAACATTTATATTTTGGTAGAAGGTTTATGCAGTCTGCAAAAATATTTATTTTTAGGTGGAACAATTAAGTTGCCCTGAAATAGTAAGACATATTTGTATTGGTAACAAAAAATTACTTGTGATAGAAAATGCTTATTTGTAGGCAGAGCAAAGAAATTTGTTCGAAATAGCAGCAGTAATTGTTCTGTGTTGATATCATTATTTGTCTTGGCAGCAAGCATTTACTTATTACAACAAATAATTATTTCTACATAGTGCAATTACACTCTTAGAAAAGACCTGGTATTTGTAACTAACTTATTATCGTTGGGGTAAAACTGTTGCAGAAAATAAAATTTTTTGTTTTTTGTAATCAGTACCTTTATATGTGTAACTGCTTGCATCATTACCTGAAAAGATTTAGTTTTGTTGTTGAGTATTATTTACTGCAAAAAGGCGATTAAGTTATTTTAACTGAAACTTTGTGTTGGCTAGAAGTATTGACAACATTATCTCAAAAAAATCATTTCGGCGGTATAATGTTTTTGTTGGACCAAATATTTAAGTAACATTCTCAACTGACTGAAATTAGTCCGTGGAACTAACGGTTCGGTTGTATAAACTATGCGTCACTTTTCACACAGCTAAGACACCAGCGGTGTGAAACAAAGTGTCAGTTGGGGATGTTGTCTCTGTAGGTTAATGCAACTGCAAACACTGCATTTCGCGCGCGATTTGTCCAGCCCGGCGCGTGCTTTACTTTTAACCTGTAAACAAACGGTGTTGCACGGCGTCCAGACTTCGGTGGTGTTTGTTCTTTCGTATTTGTGTATCAGCTCGTGTGTAGTGTATATTTTAGGTAAGAAACTAGTTTATTACAATTAGTCATTTGCCCCTGTAAATTCAGTGGCGACATACTTTTTAACTATTCATATATATAAGAATATATTCTTATGTGTTGGTTACTTATAGATATCTCGAACAAATAATATGGATGAGCGGACTGAAGTAGCAGATTTATTAGGAACATGGGGTTTGCCTGAATTGGTTCCAGTTTTTAAAGGTTAGGTATTATTATTGCACTAGTCTAATTACACTATTGTAGTTTTGGGGTCCGAAAAAAAATCCAAAAATGTGAAAATGCCATTCCGACTGAAAATGGCCTCCTGAATCCAATGGTGCCACCAAAAGTCTCCATCACGTCGGAATTTCGAGAATTTTTTTGTTTTGTTTTGTTACAGCTCAAGTCGCATTTTTGGTATAGGGCCATTACTATAGGCACTCACACTCAAAATTTATCGAATGCTTACCCCTGTTATCATGCAAGTATGTTACGTTGTACCTAAGAATCATTGTTAAGTTGTTAAACAAAGGCTTGCACTTCACGTAAACATCACGGTTTACTGAAAAAGTATAGTCAACTTTCATCTTAGTGTACCTATCTGTGTATATTTACCAAATAATCCTTTTTGTTTTATTGTTAAAATATTTATAAATGTTTTCTTAGAGTAATTATTATTTTTTTAATGTTTAAACCAAAATTTTGTGTTTTCAGTTATATTATTTTTTAATTTATAATAAATATTTATAAAACGAACGGGCATGAATTTCCTTTCTTTATTTTTTATAATATTTACACAAAAAGTGTTATATTTACTAAGCAGGTATGTACTGTGGAATAATATCAATTTGTTGTTGCTATTAATGCAAGCATTTAATATTAAATATAACTTAGTTACAGTACAAAACAAATTTATATTATATCAACTATTAAATTCTTTAAATGTACCTTTTTTCATGTAATTTCAATTAAAAAATAAATTCCTCCTATATGTTTGTTGCGATAAATAGCAAGTGGAGTTGTTACAACTTAGACGCTGCTAAAATGACAGACTAATGTGATTGCATTAAATATCAATTATTTGTATGAAAAAAAAACTAATTTCGATGCACTTAAACTTGTTGGTTGGAGCTACCAATATTGGCTGTTCCGACAACAAACTGTAAAAACAAATTTGTATTAGTTCCCACAACATATTTTTTTCTTGTGCCTATTTTCACTAATAAAATTGGTTCTGGGAACTAAATTTTCATTGCAAATACCAGGTCTTTTTTAAGAGTGTAAGTTTGCCTGAAATGGTAAAAAGTTTTTTGTATTTATATTGGTAACCAAAAAGTATTTTTTATAACAAATGCTCATATGCGCATAGCAAAGAAATTTGTGTTAGCAGCAGATAATTATATAATATTTGCTGCAGTAGGAAACAAATGGGTAGGGGAGGGTAAAAATAATTTAACACTCTTTACAAATTTGTACATTAATGTAGAAAAATATATTATAATAACTAGGTACATTTAAATTCAACCAAAATACAAATACGATTCGATTTCATCCAGAGAAGGTCCAACAATTACAGGTGTTGGTTGGAGGGACAGTCCAAATGACTTTAGTTTTTGCACTTTGTTTTTCAATACGTCGTTCAATTCACCAGTTATCTAGAACGAAATACAAAAAAGTAAAATACTTTAATACACATAAAATTTACTGGATTAAATTCGGTAACTACGGTATTAAACATGTGATGTTTGACTACAATTACACTCAGAGAAATATCAAGTTATGAAAAGCATATGAAATTATATTAATTTAAATAATCGGGTAAATTTGATTCACTTTTAAAGTGTACCCTCTTTAAAATATATATACAAAAAGAAATCCATTTATTTAATTGCCTTTCTCAAAGTTGTTTCAAAAAGATATGTATTATACAATTGTTATGCACCTATTAATTTAATGGGAAACACCAATGACGCCAAAACATATTTGAATCCCTAATAATTCAAAGGGATTCAAATATGTTTTGGCGTCATTGGTGTTTCTAATTAAATTAAAAGGTGTAAAGGGTAAATGGGTAAATTTGATTCACTTTTAAAGTGTACCCTCTTTAAAATATATATACAAAAAGAAATCCATTTATTTAATTGCCTTTCTCAAAGTTGTTTCAAAAAGATATGTATTATACAATTGTTATGCACCTATTAATTTAATGGGAAACACCAATGACGCCAAAACATATTTGAATCCCTAATAATTCAAAGGGATTCAAATATGTTTTGGCGTCATTGGTGTTTCTAATTAAATTAAAAGGTGTATAACAATTGTATAATACATATATTTTTAAAATAACGTTGAGAAAGGCAATGAAATAAATAGATATCTTTTTGTATATATACAGTACACTTTAAAAGTGTTTAAAAACATTGTAAAACTGTTGGTAAATGAATATAAAACTACATTTTTTTCTATTTGAATCAAATTTACCCGATTATTTAAATTAATATCATTTCATATGCTTTTCATGACAAGATATTTCTCTGAGTGTAGGAAGACTCGTTTTTGCAGAAACAATTTCCTATAAAGTGAAATGGACTTTCGCAAAAAACTTACATTTCATAAATACTTATACCTACGTAAGAAGATAAAATAAAAGCTACCTACTGTTAAAAGCCCAAAAAAAGAAAAAACAACAATTATGTTTCAATACGAAGTAAAATTGCCTACCTCGTGTTATATTTTCATCATCGAGTCCACTTATTTTACTTAAGATATATCCGGATTTTAGATTTTATGTCTACTAAAAACTTGCACATTAAATATAAAAACAATACAATACTTACGTTTAAAAATATCCACATATTCAGAGAATCCCCATTCATTGATTGTTACATCCAGCTCATTAGAAATTATCGTAACTAATGTAAAGGTACACAAATTTCTACGCAATCTTCACACGAACAAATCTCAAATGATTTTGACTATGACTTTGTATTGAAGAATTTGTGTAATGTCTAACATGTGCATTTCAGGTACTTTTTGAGGACACTTGCCTTTATCTTATTGAAAAAATGGCCTAGTGGTGGCCATATGGAAAGTCTGGTAATCTTCGGGTATACCCGAAAACATATATATA